CGGACAAAAACAGATCTCCCAAACCAAACATATTAAGTTCAAGACATTCTTCTCTGGTTATAACAGACAAACTTTGGCCACAACGCCAATTTCTGGGCTTTTTTTCTGAACCCTGTAAGTGGACTGAATAGAAATGGGAGCTGGTGAGGAAAGTTACAGGAATACTATATTTTTAAAATAGATTGTGCCTTAAACCAAAGACTGATCAAGATGGTAAGAGAGGTTATGCCAGACTGGCACTTTCTGCCAGCCTGATCAACTACTGCATACCAGATAAACCCAGAATTTTCTGTATTCTGTTCACTCCTGCTCTGAGAGCCAACTTCAGTGGATCCAGTACTGTGAACATGTAAAAGGACTCTGAGTCATGACTCCTTCCTTCAGAAGGCTCTTTCTCAGATGACACAGCCTGTCCTTCCCATGCACAAGGCTGGAAACTCCGAGGTATTCCAATTGACATAATAATTTCCAAGGCAGCCTTTTACATCCTGTCTATATCAATATTTGCTAAGGGCACAAGGATTGGTGAACAAGTTAAAATGTACCCATTTCAAATAGATGAGTGTGTGAGCTGTCAAGAAATGTGTATTATTTATGATCCACAGCTCATGAAAGGATTGCGTGTTAGGTTCAGTCAGAATACTTCTGAGCTCTCCATGACACTCACCTAATCCCAACAGCTATTGCAGATCAAAAATATTTAAGTGACCATTCAGGTCCACTTCTTACATAGCATCTTTTATGGCTACATTTCAAAAACTAAACTAACATCGGTGGGTGTAAAAAGTGAGAGTTATTTTTCAGGTCTGCTTTTGAAACAAACAAACTGACCTTAGTTTTCACTTCTATTAAAGGTAACAAGTTTAAATTTAAACCTTTTGTTCTGAAGAAGAGTAATATCTCAAGTGTTGGTGAAGCCTATTCACCCAAGTTCTTCATTGAGGATCTTAACAATAAATTATGTGACCCTTTTTGAGAGGCTTCAGCACATGTTTTTCCTTAATAGCCACAGACTTGCTTTTATGGGCCTTGTGGCAGACCTTCCCGTGTCACTAAGAGTTAGTTCTGCAGGATCCGTGTCTGTCTGGAGCTCCCACTCTGCTTTACCTTTTTAAAAAAGTAACAAAGTAGGACATAATTCACACTTGTACATCCACACGTGTTCACTTACACCTGTGAAACAGCATTGTTGTCAGAAATAGAGAGGTTCTGTATTCGCATGACTAAGGTCCTGCAAGAAGGCACCCTGTCAGCTGACGCTAATGGACAAGAGCTGACCCAAGATGTAGTTCTGTATTTCAATAAAAAAGCTTCTTTTTATTCTAGATGTTCTCTGGGGTCCAAGTCTACCAAGGCAGTCTTGGCTTCCTATATCTAAAAGTACAGATGAGTACCTACTACAGTTGGTAACACAAAATGTTATCTGTGCATTTTATTCATGTCCTGTATGTTCTCCCTGCAAAATAGAGGTGAACATCTCAAGTCAGCACAAAATACATTGGAAGTTCTTTTACCTAATATCTACAAAAAAGACCCAACATGCCTCTAAAAATAAATTATTACATTCTCAGAAATACAATGGTAAAGTACCTGTGACCCATGATAGACTTCTGTGACACAGCATACATTGAAAAGACTAGAGAGTTCACATTTTCCAGGCGGTGGAGGTCTGTTTCCATCCATATGTTTCTTCTCATCATACAAGAAGGGCATCACAACACTTTGTGATTGTCTAAAGATTGCTTCATTTCAACAGCAAAGCAGATGTCTGAAGTCCCTTACATTTTGGAGGAACATTGATAAGAAAATGTGGTCAGTGAATTATCGTTACAGGAAGTCCTGTGACTGGAAAGTGTGTGGGGAATAGATACTGGCAAACACCCCTACCATCTAGAATTATAACTCAAAGTGCTTGCAAAATGCATTCAAATGTACTGTATTTTCCAAAAATGTTAAAAATATCGATTAAATTAGGGTTTGTTTGTTTTGTTTTGTTCTGAGTTCCAATATTTTAAGGACTATTTTTCAGTTATTAAGTAGATGCAATCTGTGCTTAGGCAGTGCACATAATTTGATAGACAACATGAAGCATGACTGGCTGCAAAACAGTTTTCTGTGCATTTAAACAATCATCTTTGCACGCAGCTTCAAGTAACCAGTGGACTTCCTTGTCACTCTCTAACTGACAACACAAGAATAAAATACAGATTTGTGAAAAATTTATCATTTGCCTTGAGAGTGTCTTAAATAAACTGGGGTGCAGGTTGATCTCATGCTTTTTTTTTTTTTATTTCCTTGGTTAAAGATAAAATACTCAAGGGGGGGGGGGGGGGAACAGAAAAAAAAGTGTATTAAGACTACATTTGGCATTTTGAATACAACAAAAGGTACCTATAGGGTTGCTTTATTGTAGAGTCAAATAAACTCCAGCTGTCAGCCCTGTGATCACTTCTTCAATAGGCAAAAAAGACTCAGCTCTAACCTGGCTACATGCTGGTTCTCACCAGTATAACAACTGATATTTTCTTCCTTATGAATTGTATTTACAATTATTCCTTGGCTTTCTAGCAGAACTTTGAAAGAAATATGTGACTAGACTTCCTAAGTAAGTGCTTTATTTTTTTTCTCTTTTGTTAAGTAAAAAAGCTTTATATCTGTTTTCATTAGAGCTGAAGTAAAACCTTTTGCCCGAGATGAAAATGTCTGCAGGATGACTTGCAAAATCTTGTGGTTTTATTGGCATTCTCCTATTATGTTCATATTAAAGAGCCCAAAATATGCTAAATATGACCCTGTGCCTAGAGTGAGAGACCAACTACTGCATATATGGAGTCAGAAAACACACATTGCTGAAACTTTTATCACTTCTTTAAATGTATTAGTAAGGGGAGAGATCCTGACCTTCCAGAAGTGAATAGGAGTTTTGTCATTGACTTCTCCTGGACCAAGGCTTCACTAGCTGTCTTCTGATAAGAATTTCTAGATTTATTGTGTAACTTTATTCAAGATCCACACTTCACAGGAGGAATATACATAACTGAGCACTAGAATTGATTTAAAATTTCGAACAACATTTTCCTGAAAACTTATTTTTCATAATGTTCTCTTTTGCATTCTTAGAGGAGGAAAATGATGAAATAAAACAAACAATTCTGAAAATCTGTTTCAGTTTTACTTGAAATGTTTGATATTGTGTGTTTTTCTGCTGCCTCCTCATTTTTTCTTCATTAATTTCTGTCTTTCTTCAAAAATCTAAAAAGTTAAAAAGCAAGAATTGGGGGGAAAAGGGGAAGAATGATAATTATTTGAGAAGACAGATAACTTTAGTTCATATTCCATTTTTTACACTCAAAGTCAAAGATAAGTCAGAGACAAGTGTCACAGCTTCAAAACTACAAAATTCCATTTTTCCCCAGAATGGCTTGCTACACCACTTTCAAAATAAACCACTGTATTTTGAAAGCTAATTGCATGTTGCATGTTGTTTCTTTTATGAAATTTTATTTTTCATTTCCAAGTCCATTCTGTTAGCAGTTTGTCAGAAACTCATTAAAAATGCTATTCTAGATTGTTCTGTCATGTAGATAGGCAAAACACAGAGGACTAGGACAATAGTCTGTGCAAGGCTAAGTAGCATATGACCTTAAGCAAAAATGAGCCCTAAATAATTTCAAAAGAGTTGTTTATTGTGGCATCTGAGGAACTATATTCCAGCAAGCCAAAATACTGACAACTATTCAGTGAACAATTTCTTTTCAGCAAAATGCTTATCCAGGTGGCTGAATGCTTTCTTTTTGGTTCTGATGTCAGTCAGCTAACTAGTCTGCTCTTTCAGACTTCACCAAGGTCGTTGACCTTAAGACTTCATAAAATTGACTTAATTTGTTTTGCCATCATTTCTTTATCGGTCAACAGTCTATATGTTTATATGAAAGTATTTTTTTCAAATGTCTGAAATTGCCATCTATGGGCCCTTGGGTAAATAGTTAACTATTTCAATGACAAGTGCAAAGCATGAGGTGAGCTTTTTAAGCCATTTTTTTTGCTTCCAACAGTAACATTCTTGTCACTATTGAACCATCTTAATGTAAAAATATACCAATGAAAAAATGAAATATAGGGAGTGGTGTTGCACAGAGGTTTTCTGTTAAAAATCTTCTATGTAATATAAAATTAACAAAAAAATTTAAAAAGTTGCATATTAGGTATGTGAAGGTACTTCCTTCAATCCTCAGCAACAGGTTTCCAACAGATGTGTCAAAAGAAAACTGTATATATGTGGGTTTTCTAAGAGAAAAATCATTTCAATTCTAATACAAATTTAATCCTGTCAGCTGTATACTTGCTCTGTGCACTCAAGCAATGAGCAGAACAAGTTTCAAGTTCTCACACTTCTTCACTCATGTTGTACATTGTCTGTACGACATAGAGAGTTTGATATAGTGAAAGTTTACCAGAGATCCTACCAGAGTTGTCGCACAAAGTATTTTGATAATTTAACAAAGTTTCTGATAATGCCATCAATAAGAATGGCACAGGAAAATGTTTGAAAACTCTAATACCTGTACCTGAGGATATCCTGTGGTAATCAGTGGTAAAGGTTTACTTTTGAAAATCCTTTTATCTGGCATATCTGTTAAATACATGCAACCACCTGCCTACCTCCAGGGGATTCATTACCCCACGACTCTTCACTCTTCCCTCCTAAGCATCATCTAGCAGGAGCTGCAGCTATATTTGGTTTCTAAAAACAATCACAGTTACTAGGTATATCTGTGAAGCTTCTTCCAGAGTGGGTAAAAGAGTCCTAACAGTCCCAGGTAAGACGGAGAAAGTCCCCATAATATGCCGTGTTTGTAAGGTGATGATAAAAATCATATCAGAAATTATTACAAAGCCCACTACACAAATTATACTGTGTTATGGACTGGCAGAGCCATTTAAAGCCTTGCTGCGAACATTTACCTCCATACCATTCTTTATCATAGCATACACTCCTCTTTGTTTACCATTATTGATAGGCAACTGTGTATGAAAAATTTGAATTCTTTCTTAAATTATTTACACTTAACATCCTCTTTAAAATGGCAGATCTCCAAAACCAACATCCCAGTTACTCATTGACTCATCATGCTGTTTTGATAGCAAGGGCAACATTGCAGCAGGTATTCTGAGTGGTGCTTTTACCCACTGGGATTTCTGTTGCACCACAGACCTTTAAGATTCTTAAAAGTACTTCAAGGACCACAGCAATCTAAAGCTTTAAAGCAAATTAGATTTAACACCTATCTCCTTCAAGCCCTTCCTTTCTAGAGCTGAATTCCTTTCATTATATTTGGTTTACAAATACTCACAGAAAAGCCTTTCTACGAATAATTTATAGGCTGAAGTTTGAAACAGTGAATGAAACGAAAGCCATAATAATGTGTTCTGGTAATTCAACCGGTTTAAAGAAAAAACAAAACAAAACAAAAAGATAAATTATTATAAAATGAACTACATTATATTGGTACTGAAGAGCATATCAGAATGGAAGCCAGAATATGACATGTAGGCAGCTGTGCACACAGATGTGTAACCCTGTTCCAAAGGCTGGAAAACATTCCAGTAAAATGATATCTCTAGGTTTCCAAACTTCAGTGAACTGAAGATTTTATGGTTTTCATCATTTCATATTAATATACAAGTCTTAAAAATACATAACGTGAATTTGAGTAATCAAGTGAAAGTAAGCATCCATTTTGCCTAGGCACTTTCAACACACCTTTTTAGACAACTTTAATCTTTAAGCACTAAAACCAGCAATGAAAAATATTATCCTAAACAGACACTTTAATATCTACAAGTACCACAGTAAAATGTACAATACAATTCAGCCACTGAGACATGACTAGACAGATATACTCCTGGTGGAAGCTTCCATGACCAAGGGTACATTTAAAAAAAATAAATTTCATTCAATGCAGACTGTTCAGTATAGACTTGGTATCTATCAAGAGCATTTCCCACTTGTCATTCCTTCCCTCCAAGTGAGGAGAGAAAGCAGCCTTTCTGCAAAAAGGACACAAAACCTTTCACGTTTGTGTCACTGGCGTGTTCCAAGCTCATGCAGGAAACCACAGCCCATTTGGCAGGAATCTACCATTTTGCAGGCTGGAGTAACAATCTGCCTGTTTATTTCTGGACTTCCTGCAGTTACATGCTGATTTCCCAACAAGGTGGTTTCTGCACAGGTATAGTTCTCAGCATAATTAATGTGTTATAAGAAATGCATTGTGCCCCCTGCTTTCAAACAGCTCTGTGGTGGCAGGGTTGCATACCACCACTTCACTGGGGCTGTCAGCATCTCTAGGAGGGCTGGGAGAAAGCCAGCACTTAAAATGGTTGGGGGACAGAGCCAGCAATCCCACTGTGATACAGATTCATCAGGAAAGGGCATGTCTGAGCGGCACCCAAAATCACAAGAAAGAGAGAAGGGAGCCAGCACCATGAGAGCTGGTGCACTCCCATTGTGCACAACATGGTGCATTTGCCAAACTGGGACTGGGTTATTGCATGGTTGTGCTAGAACAGCAGTTCATCCAGGCTACCTGCAAATGGGCACATGTCTAGTGACATACTGGTGTTGCTACACTGCTTCAAGTTTCTACAGTAGGTCAGACTACAACAGATGAAAGCTGTTTGCTCTATGCCCCCATGTAAGGATCAGAAAGGTCCTCAGAAGTGATATCTGGAGAACTGTTTTTTCCCCGTTGTTTGCTTAAACCAATACTTAACTATAGCACACATTTTCTGTGGGATTCGTTCACTATCATTAGCGTTCAATGATGCTATGGAGCCTCTATAAACCTATCCTCTGTATTTATGAAATTCTATTTTTTTTCTAAAAAAATCTGATGACAATAACTGGGGTCTAGATATAGTAAATTATACAAAGTCCCTCCAACATCCATCTCTCAGAAGTGAGCACTGAGCCTTCAGTTTCACAGCTACAGTTCTGCAATTCATACAGCTGCTTTGGGTAACAGAAAGCTTTCCTTTCCTTTTTTCTTCTCTTAGCTGTGAAATTGGTACCTGCAAAAACAGCCACATTCAGTCACTCTAGGTAGACAGCTTTGGCAAATAGAACTGTTCCACATATACAGCTTGTGTAATAGCTCCTTGTGAGGTCTAAAACTGGAGGAATAATAGAACCATCTTCAAAATAAGGAAGATTGGTTTAAGTCCAACACAATCCTATGGGAAATTATTTTAGCTGTAAAATCTCTGAAAGACTTGGACAGGTAAGTACTAACAAGCTTATTTCTTCACTATAATACTTGCTAAATAAAACTAATTTTTTTTAATAAACCCATTCTTTCATTATAGCAAATGACCCCTCCTTTAAAAGTTGTTCTAGATAAAGACCAGGTTTTTACAGTTTCCATTCTGCTGTCTTGTCAATATTTGGTTCATCAACCCCTCAGTTCTTCTTATAGCCACCTCTGAAGAAATATAATGAAAGTTTCTTAATTTCATTAAGAAATTTAATATGATTGTGAAAGCTTAGGATGATTATGGTACCCTAATTTTTTAAGACAGACACATTTTTAACTTATAAAATATATTCTTAATTAAAAGCTGGCAGAACTTATTTATATTGTTTTAATTACAAAGTATTTTCAAGTCAGTGTAGTCAGGTCTAGCTTTGAATTTGTTCTTGTGTTTAAATAATGTTCATGGTTTAAAAAATGCTCATGTTATTGAGAGGAAAGTTGAAACACTGAGAATATATGACAACACTGGCTGTTTTATGCAGTTGTAACAGCTATATCTGCCTATGAAGCCAAGTGGAGGTAGGGGGGAAGTATTTCCACTGGTTTAAATTATTTATTATTTTAACTGATACTTAGTAGCAGTATAATGCACTCAAGTACTTTCTAAATTCTTTCTAAGCAATTTATAAAATCTTTAACGACTAAAAGTGAGATAATTATCATTTGAACCTCTGCCATATCAGAACATTATTTAGGAGGTTATTGCAATCTGTCCAAGTTGTGGAAGAAATTATTTTTGCTATTCATCTGGGGTAAGAGTAGATATAATACCTCATACACATTAAGAAACTGAAAGAACCAAAATCAATGCTAGAATATTATACCATTTTCTAATTCAAGATCCAGAAGCACTCACGACTAATAAAATGAAAACTTTGATATACAATATTCCTCATACAATAACCTTCAGCTTTCAGAAACAGTCAAAATTTTCTAAAAATTTACTATATTTTTTAGGGGAAGTTAACTGGAAGATATTAAGATATTTCTGTGTGCTGAAATCAGAGTGAGATAAAAGGCAATTAAGAACTAATACATAACACTGAAAAACATCCTTTTTCATTTTTCACCTCTCACTATACTGTGCATTTTGTTCAGCTATATTTATGTACAAAAAAAAAAAAATCATCTATTTTTTCGTTGAAAGCTTTTCTCATTGAGCACTTTATGGCATAAAATTTCCTTAGAAATTAGGTCACGTTGTTAGAACTATACAATAGCAACTTTTTGTGAGAATTGTCATGGCAATGTAAGTACTAGGCAGTTGTTGAATCATCCTTAATATTTTTATTATTTAAAATTTGAGAGAGGTTTAACTGATTCATATTCACCTAATGTCCAAAGCCATTCCTAATAGCTCAAAAATATTTTAAGATGTTTCCAACTTTAAATCAATGCAACTTCTGAGTATAGTTATTTCTCAGAATTAATAAATGTGCCAGACTGAAAAAAAACTTAATCTCTTCTGAAATTCTAACACTATTTTACTAAAGGGAAAAAAATAAGTAATTGAAAACTTATGTTACAAAATCTATTAGTGATCAAATAAAGATCTACCTGTATTACAGTTTCTCATATACTACGTACTTAGATCTTGTCAAATGCTCCTTTTCATTTCACCTCCAGAAATAAAGGTGCATCCCTTGAAATTACCATTTACATTATATGGAGCAACTTATGTCATATGAAGAAAAGTAAAAACTATTTACATTTTCAAATATTTTTACACAATTATCTTGACATCTTGAAAGTCCAGTACATAATAACTCAGTTCTTTTAGGTTGTGTAGTAAGAAACACAAATCGGCCCATTTTTTGAGATATTGGCAGTCATGAAAGAGTACTTCCTTCACTGTCAATTTTCTTAAGTAAGAAGTGAGCTAATATGTTGTTATTGTAAAGGCGTGAAGTTTTGGTCCTGTAATAACTCTCATTGTTTTGCATTTCAGTGGTGGCTGACTTTTCTTGCATTCACAAAGAAATGTAAGTTCTTTGTTATTTTAGAAATTATTCTTGAGTGCAAGCAATCATTTTCTGGTCTTACTGTGGCCAGTTCCCAGTCTTTCAGACATTAGCCTCATTTCAGGTTATAAGGGATTCCCAGTTTGGGATTTACAGTCCCATTTGAAACCTTCATCCAATGTCCGAAGAAACTAATTTCTCGTTCTTGCACCATTATAGCTCTGAAATTCTTCTACCATCTCCTTAGCACCTTAGACTGCCACAGTAGCACACAACACTGAAATCTCATGGAGACAGTTGTTCTGCTCTATGTATAGACCTTTACACCTGGAAAAATATTTGCAGAGAGCTCTGAGAAGACCTCAACCTAAAACCTGCCAGGAGGAATTTGCTTGGAAATACATTTCAAAGCCTCATCTGGAATCTTTGCAATAAAATATATCAGCACTCGGACTCAGCCAGCACATTTAGTATGATGAATGAGGAGTTCAGAACATGTTAATTTTTTCATGACATCACCCAACCTGGGTTGCAGAATCCTGGGAAAATATCCTGTTTGCTTGAAGAAAGTATAAAACATTGAGACTCCCACCTCTGTCACTACCAGGTGAGGACTTCACCTTAGATCAAGAATTCCAAAGAACTTTTTTCTTTAGCCAAGTTCTGTGATAGATATCTTTCAAAACCAGTCTTTACTCTGAAAACTGATTTAAATTAATGCGACCCTGCTTAATGTTGATCTTCAAAGTTTCAACTGATTGATTTAGGTGTCTCTTATTTAGGTTGCATGGACTGAGAAACATGCCCTATGGGGTCAAGATGGACGTTATAGGGGACAAACGAGACACAGCACATATTCTCCTCTATGAAGCCATAGCCATACCACTATGTTTTCCTATTCTATTTTCTCAGTCTTTTGCTTAAATGTCATTCTGTGTCATGCAAATTAACTTCATGAGTTTTCTGATGTGATCTCTATCTTGGTAAAAGATGAGAAAATAAAATTAACATCCCAAATACACATACTCTAGTCTTATCATTCATCCGTCTCTGCCTTTCCTCTGAATATTGTGCATAGACATACAAACAAACCCCAAAGAAGTACAACTTTCAGCTTTCTACCCCAGCTCAGTTCCTTCTTTCCAGGATCACTATCTCCTTCCATCTCTTGTAAACTGTCTTTTTGTCCTGCTTCTTCCTTCCAGCCGTATTCAGCTTACAGGTCTGTGCTTTCTTCTACCAACCAATAGTTTTGTTTCTGGTAGGGATTTTGCTCACATTTTATCTCATTAAACTGTAAAAAAGAAATGCAAGCAACTTGATACAGAAGCGATTTCAACAGAGTTCTTCTGTAGCCATATACCAGGTTGAGGTTCAAAGCCATAAAAAAATGATTGATACTGAAGGAAATTAAAGCCAAACTTGTATCTCTCAATACCTGCAAGCAACCATTTACTAATGGTCAGAGCTCCTAAAGTGTCTGAAGTTCTTCTGGTACCTTAGAAAGTGTCTGAAAAGGCTCTTAGGGCTGTGCTTTGAAGAATAGTTTTGGCTATACCTCCACTTAGTAAAAATAGGCCAGCTGTTCTCAGGGAAGCACTGGAAGCCAAGAAACTGGAACGAGAGAGAAAGCAAGCTCTGGCAGGCTGCAAGGTTAGACACCTAAATCCAAGGGGCAAGACCAAACGAGTCCTTTGTCTTCAGAAGCATCTCCCGACACAGCGCCTTTGCCCCTGTTATGACTCTTCCCTTAAGCACACATGGTGAGCTAAGAGCATCCCTGCAGGACCAATGGCTACAGGCTCATGGCTGTGTCATTGCCCTACCTTCCCTGGTGGCTCCAGCAGTGAATTTTATCTGGAATCATGTGGCTATAAAATAAAGTTTCAAGTTTATGTCTATACAAAACGTTCCCTTATTGGTTTTGAAGTACCTACATAGTATTGTCCACTGTTAGAAATACAATAATTTAATCCCAGGATTTATCCAGACAGTCCAGCCCTGACCAAAACTCTCCTTGTGGCTGCTTTCTAAGGGGTTAGAAATAGCATCAGTGATATTTATTACAGACTTCAGCTGGCACTTAGCTTGTCAGGCATTCCAATCAATATGTGATGCTTTTGTTTCTCCACACCCCTATCACAAATTATATTGTTATTGTATTTTGACTCTGCTGAACACTTGAACACTGTATTGCCCTGTGCTCCCTAGGGCACAGAGAATTTCAAACTTCTCACGACATCACACTGCAATGACATTTTCAGTTTACCCTTGTATTTTGAAGACTCTCTCCAGTCATCAGGATTATGATCATGGGGTACACTTTTGCTGCACAAGATTTATTTACTGGCAAGTTCTGTATAGCTGTAAGTTACCCAAACCTCCAACACTGCAGATTATCATGTATTTATAGCTCAGGGACACATTACTTATTTTATCTTTTGACTGAAAAGTTTATTTACCTGATGAGAGGGAGAGCATGAAGGATCTTAGTACTGGAACCAAGGTTTCGAGACAAGGTAAACAGTGAGGATGCTTGTAAAAGAGATAGGAGATTGGAGTAGTATTGACAGTACTAGTATTAGTATGGCTTCTGGTATTGACATAAAATAAATCAAGCAACTTCAGAAACTTTCAGTTATTTCTGACTTCAGCTTTATCCTCCGGTTTCTTTGCTCTGCCCTCAAACAGCCTTCACTACATGCTTATCTGTCCTCTCATGCTCCAGTCCTTGGGTGCAAGGATTGTTTTTTCTCTTGTATTTGGAAAGTGCCCAGGCCATTTTACACATAGCCACAACACAAATAATTTTTATCCGGCCTGCTGGAATGCCCACTCAGTGCGTTAGCTGCATGGCTGCACCTTCAGTCACCTCTTGTTCTCTCCCAAGGATTGTCCCATATTTCCTGCAGTTTACTGCCAGCAGCAGGGGAGCATCTACACAGTCAGATGTCCAGTTTCAGATATTTTTCCCCCTTGTTTTTCTAGGAAAATTAGATAATGACAGTTTTAATGAACTCACTAAAAGGGGTGATCTACACAGAATTTACCAACAGTAAGGCTGCGTGCACTACTCAACAAGATATGTTGCAAACACAAGTATAATAAACACTGCTGGAGAGGGCTGCCTGGTGAACTCGTAGTGCACCTATGGAGTGCTGCTTTGAGAGCCAAGTGACCCCAATTTCAGAGCAGTCCCAGAATCCAGAAAACTGAGTTCATAACAGTTATGTGTTCATAGTCAGGGAGAAAGAGTCAGAAAAACAAATATTTTTTCTTGTTTTAACATTTGGGATTTAAAGTACAAGACCTGGCTTTATATTACTGACCAGGCTTTCTAGCTCTTCAAAGCACCAACTGCTCTGTGTTGGCATAAATGTTGCTCCATGGAGGTCAATAGGAGTTCCAGCTGACCTCCATGAAATATCTGTTAAATAAAATGCATCAAAGAATTGGATTCTTTAAGCAATCTTTTCCTCAAGTTTCCCTGCTGTAAAGGAATGGAGAATGTTACTCACTCTGTTGCATAAATCTCTTTCAGAACTTAAGCAGAAAAGCAAGAGATTAATTCAGTGACAAATTTTGGCATCACTGCAGAATACCTACACCTATAATTAAAGCAAAGTTACTTCATCTGTAGTACTGTATATATGACTAAATGCTATTCCTTGTGAACTAAAGGGTATGTAAAAATTCATAATCAGACAAAGTTTGCATTTTTATTTGAGGGTTAGTAGATAATATGCTGGAAAGTGAAACAAACATTTCTCATATTATTACATCTTTCACAAAATATGTATAACTGTGAATTTTGCACACTCCATAAATAAATTCCCTCATAGCATTAATTTACTTAATTTTATCTGTAGAAGTTATATATGTAAAATATTAATAATGACAATCTGAAAACATAAGAAATCATTAATTGTATATTTTACACTTATCACACTATCCAGAGGTATAATAATTGCCAATAATACATCCTCATATATATAGCTTGTACTTTTAGAACAAGCTCTGCTTATGTAGCTCCATGAACAGATTCACCATTGTTTTACCATGTCTGTCATTTTGGGTTTAAAGATATCTTCCTATATAATGCAGAAGTAGTGCAGAGCCAGCATATACAGTATGTACAGATAATGAATCACCCAGCCATTCAACAAGCATGCTCAAATTATGATTGTAAAGTCATGGAGCAAAAATTAACTTTCCTTCATTGTGACCTGTGTTTATGCTCTTATGCCCACAGACCATGGTAAGACTTCTGCAAACTTCTGTATATCAAACCTTTATTGATACACCAGGAAATTCTTAATTCATCTGTTTTTCTTGTTTGGCATGTCAACTAGACTGATATGGCCCAGATTTACATGGCAAGTTCATACAATTTGCCTACAGTAAACAAATAAGAACCATTAACATGGCCCTTTTAGGTATGTAGAGGGAAAGAGATTTTAAAGTAAAATAATGGCACAAGATATACAATTTTCTGTGTAGAATACTGTATCAGGTTACTTAATAAAAAACATTTTTAAGTACATCTAAGCTAGGTAACAGAACAATTGAGCTTTCTTGCACAACCTTAATTCATCTACATGCATTATGAGACAATCTTTAATTAAGTGATTATGCACTACAAATTCTGTACAGCATTTTACAACACACACAATAGACTTTTTTTCTGGAAAGGAATTAAAATTATCTAGAGCTGTCTGAAGAAACCCCTCTTACATATGCCCATACAATAACAATAGGAAGTTATAGCTCTAGTTATCCAAAACTAAATAAAAACAACACTTGCCACTGTTTTCTATCTGGCTTTCTCAAAGAGATTTATGAAGTTATATCAGAATATTTGTTGCCTAGTTTGCAAATGTAGTAAGTGGAAACACAGCAAAATCTTCATCTGCACTTCGAAGACTTCTGCATTGTTCTTTGTAATGAACAGGAATAAAATAGCAGACCTCAATTTTCTTCTTTCCTTGAAACCACTTAAAATTAATGATTACATGGCTCACAATGAACTTTTATAATTACTTTCTAGAGCTTTATACAGATAAGTATTAAAAGCACAGGTCTAGCTGCATTTTTTTAAAGACAGGAAGGGTTCTACCTGTATTTACATATTTTGATTCAAAATCTCCTTTATTCTCAGTTGGGAACAGAAAAGCCTTTATTATTCTCAGCTGGGCCCAGTCCCACAAACATTTCAACTCTGTCTTCATCAGATGCAGATCACACCAGCATTTATCCCCACTAATCACCACTCCCTCTGGCACTGACATTATCCTGGGGAGTTTCCCATTCACCTGACATCAATTACCCTAGACCCTGCTGATACTTAATTCATATCATCATTCTTAATTAATCATTAACCCCTTCACTGCAGTCACTGTTCTGTAATTGGTGTTCACAGCATCTGCAAAATATTAAGGGTATTTGAATCTACATTCATCATGAGATCTTCTATTAAAGCATGAGGTACAGCCTACAGACTTCAGCCATGTTTCAGGACATCACACAAACGTATTAAAACTAGGAAAAATTAGTACTCCTGATCCAGATTCATAAATCTAGCAGCTGCATGTCTACCATTCAGTTATCTTCAGAGCCATTTAATAAAATCCTGTTTTCACAATGATATCAGGAGACCTGCATGATCAGTTAGCTAGGAAAAATGTTCATGCAAATAAACAGATACCTTTGTAGAGCTTCACATTTCAAAATATTTAAATAAAAAAGACTGATAGATTTAAAGGAAAAGTCTGGTTTAAAATTTAACTGTTGTCAGGTCACTCTAGAAATTGGGATTTTCTTGTGATAGAAGTTGGTGGATAAAATAGCTGAAAAATTCATGAGGTGAAAACGCAGGTAGCTATGCATGTCTGAGAATATTTTATATTGTTTAGGTGATATCATATTTTCTTTAGAGAAGCTAGAATTCTATCGAGCTTAAAAAATCCATTTACCCAGACTAATATTCCACCTTTTTTTTCACTGAAAACCTAAATGAATAAAAGTCAGTGTGCATGGGGTCTTTGGTGTAGGACTCTAAACATGCAGTGAGAAATGCAAGGAGTTTGAGGAATAAAAAAAGTACTGAGGATGGCTTATTTCAAGAAGCAACTACGTACTCTGAATGTGTGTCAGTGGATTGGATTATTAGATTTAAATCCTGTGGTTCTTCATTAGAACTCATAGCCTCATTTCATGTTTATCTTTTAATGGTAAGTTTGAACTGAAGATCTATGAAATTATATTTATCTGAAACAAAAGAGCCAAAGAATTGGTACAGAGGATATCAGTGGTTCTCAAGTTAACAGCAAATCTGGAGGTCCATATTGTATGCTTACTCTACTGAAAGACAAATAGCACATCGCTGATGAGATGTTTCCCAGGTCTTTATATCCTGCTTTTATTTTGGTTTGCTTTTAGCTTAACAGAAGAGAAATATTTAAAGAGTGGAGTAGCTAACAAATCGCATTTCACAAGCATCAAGAAAGAGGTTAATGAGGTTTAAAAATAGGGTTAAGTGGTATCACCATCACAGGAGCTGTGAATGTTTGTAGAAGATGCACATGAAAGAAGACCCATTTTAATAGTATGGAAGATTCTCACTTTCATTTCTTCTAGCAGGCTAATGTCAGAGAGATGTTTAAATTTTTATTAGAGGTGCAAGATAAAATAGAACAATGCCACATTTACTGGTCGCATATCTTTACGAATCAGGTGGCAGAGATCAATTAATACAAAAATAAAAATTTAACTATTTTTTAATATGTAATTCTCTTAGAAATATCTCTAGCTAATACATCAAAGTTATACATCAGTCCATGCCAGACTGAAATCAAACAGTTTTTCCTTGTGGACAGGCAGAATACAATCATATCTGTAGATCAATGCTTATTACATTACTTTGAAAATTAAACAAAACGTAAATAATCAAGCATTCTATTCCCTCCACTTCCACAGAACTGATAGTACCAATCTTCAGCTTCTTACAAAGACCTGTGGTCAAAATCTTAGTGATGTAAAATCATCCCTTCTTATTACAGTCACAAGCGTTATGTTTACTTTCAGCAAGTAAGGAGCTTGTTGACTATTACCAAGGAAAAGTGTAATACTGCATGAATCTTTCATTGCAGGAGTGGAAGGAGCTGGTTTATTTCTAGTAGTTGGAAAGAGTCCAAGCTCAGCCAGTTGAGAGGGAATTTCTTTAGCTAAATTATTTTTGTTGAAAATTCCCTAAAGAAATTTAGCCTGAGGCAGTCAGTGAGTATGGAAAATTTCAGTCCAAACTGATGAAATATGATGAACACATTAGCATTTGAAAATATGATTTTATCATGAGTTGTGTCAGGCAACTTTAGTAACAGACATATCCTTCTGCCTACCCTGTAATACTGCTCTCCTTAAAGGCATCAGTGACTGCTGTTAATTCCAGACCTGGTTTTAATGGATGATGTCCTTCCCAATCTCTTTTAGACTAATTGAAAAAACTAAGTCACTGTATTTATGGTATCCAGCATCATGAAAAACAAAATCTTTTTCACAAAAGAATTTTCCTAATGGTAAAA